GGTAATCAAAATTTCATTAAGCTACGACAAAATCAATAGAAAATACTATGGAACCTCTCAGTACCAACTATCTTTACTTTTTTTAATCTCAAAATCCTATAGAAGAAAACTATCAAAGTATAGTAAATAAACTATCTACTATCTCAATCCCATTGACTAAAAACAACTAAGCAATTGCTAGTCAAGCTGGCATCTGGCTCTCACAATCTACTTTGTGTCATGTACTAACTAGTTAGGACTCTTCATTGCAGCAAAACCATATAGTCTCAAGCATCGTTCTTTTCAGACCAGACTGATCACTACACTCTAGACCACTTTACTCATCACTGCAATAACTGAATTACCACTCCACTTGTTTACACACCACTGCAGCACATCACTCCAATCTGCCAACTCTGGCAGCGCTTGATCCTACAGTACCATACAGAGAATAAACTGAACATAGATCAGCCATCAAATAAGTTATGTCTGGTCCCTAATCAACCTGGGCAGAGAACACAAAAATCAGAAACTGATTTTTCCCCACGCAATCAACTTGTTCTGCAACTTCAAATGATTATTTATCCCAAAACCGTTTATACCAATTCACTTCTGCCACATGATCTCTCAATGAATTCCACAGCCTTTTAACAGAATATATCTTCATTTCCTCCCCTTCCTATGTTAAAGTCAACCCCGAATCTGAGATATAAGACCTGGTTGCTGCTCTGCACTTCAAGATAAGCTTTCAGATCCAAGAACAAGCAGTTGTAGCCTTAACATCCCAAATCGAAGTGAGTTTAACATGGCAAAGACAAATCCAGGAGACCCATTGAGATCCTTCTCGATGCGATCACACTAACCCCTCATGATCTTATTCGAGGTCACATAATCTCTTCTCATGGACCATGGGCCAAGAGACAAATTAAGAGGTTCCAAGAGAGCTTGGGAGCACTCAATATGGGTGAAAACGATTGTACAAGAAAAAACTACGGGTTTGTTGATGAGAAATGGATTAGCTATTTAGTTCTCACAATCCAAAAATGATGGTTGGAGTTCGGAGATATAAGGATCAATTGGGAGCGTTCCTGACAGATATATGGGTTGCTTACAACACATGAGCCATGGACATGTTTTGCAGATCATAACCGTTAAGGACTTTCTTGCTGCCCAAGAAAGACATTCTTGCTTCCCAAACATTAAAAAAGTGTTTTATAGATTACTTAGCTGCTAAGGAGCTTCCTTTAGCCCATTTAAACGAGTTTAATTCATTATTTAATTATTATTATGTTTCCTGCTTAGTTTGAGATTTTTTTTCATATTCTTAGAAGGTTAGATTTGTTACCTCTACCAGCTGACAGAGTGACTTCAATGGTACCCCTAGATTGAGAGTTTGACTACTTCAATCTCCGTCTTAGTTACTTGCATGTGTGATGGTGCAACAAGGAATGGATCACACTCAGCGGGAGGGGGGAATGATTATAAAGGACCAGAGTGGTTCGATTGTCCTTTCTCGGGGAGTTTATATTGATTATATTGATGATCCACCAATAGTGGAATAATTAGTCCTTAGTGAGGCCATCTAGTGGTGTCTAATAAGGTCAACTAGCCCGGTAAGCGAGATAATCTCTTTGGAGCGATTCTTGAGAAACTTCGTTGTTTGCTGGCGAATCAGAATGGTTTTACCGTATGATTTGTAGGTCGGAATAGCAATAGGGTAGTCCACGTGGTGGCTAGAAAAACCATTTCTTTGTACCCGGCTAAATGTCATTATTTTGATTTCCTTTCCTCGTTATATACCAGTGTGTACTATGTTTGATCTCCTTCTTAATACATACAATATAATCTTTTTTATTGTAAAGACCTCTATAAGTAGAGGGTGTAAGACTTATGAATTTTATTGTATATCTAATAAGGGTTAATATTTTCGTATGGCCTGAACTTTGACCAAAATAAACATCCTACCCAATCTTTTCGATCTATAACATCCTGCCCGAACTATACACCAAAATAAACAATTTGGCCAAACTCAATGTTTGACCGTTAACTTGGACGGTCAAATGCGTTGACTAACGGTCAACGCGCCACGTCACTGCCAAGTCAGAAGATCTAATAAATATTTTATTTTTTTGTTTAACTAAGTATCAGATGATTTTTTTTAATTTATAATAATTTAAAATTAGGGAATGTGTGGAAATTGTGAACTATTTTAAATATTTTATGCTGACTTGGCAGTGTCATGGCGCGTTGACTAACGGTCAACGCGTTTGACCATCCAAGTTAACTGTCAAAAGTTGGATCTGGCCAAATTGTTTATTTTGGTGTATAGTTCGGGCCAGGATGTTATAGATTGAAAAGATTGGCCAGGATGTTTATTTTGGTCAAAGTTCAGGTCATACAAAAATATTAACCCATCTAATAATTATCAAATTATTAAAGAGTTTATCTAGTATTCCTTTGTGAACGTTTGCTCAAATCTTTTGTCGAGGAGCCAGGAGTTTGTGCGTATCTTATCAACTAGAAGAGCACATCTAGCTGTGGCGAGCTCTACCCACAATCGGTTAACCCTTATCACTAGTTGAGATTGTTTGATCGATTCCTTCTTTTATCCTTTGGATAGAGTGAAGCAACATGAAGATCGAACTTAGCTGCGTACTTTGGTTACCTTTGAATCTAGGAGTTCGAACCTCGATTCATATCAAGTGGTATCAGAGACCTGTTCAAAATCAATGGCAAGAAGGACGTTCTTGAAGAGTCTTGGACGTTCTTGAAGGTTTTCGAAGGGTTTCTTGAAGTTCCTTGACGTGTTCAAAGGATTTCTTGAAGTTCTTGGACATGTTAAGGAGTTCTTGCAAGGCTTCTTACGATTCTTGAAGAAGATTCTTGGTTTCTTGGAAATCAAGAATGGAAGACATGATGCAACAACTAACCTCAAACATGGAGGCTTTCCTTAAGGAGAAAGTAGCCAATAATGATCGCATGGAGGCTTTGGAAGGATGGCTTAATCTGCTGGCAGTAGCAAACCAACCCAAAGCTCCTTTGGCGGTCGAGAACCCTAATCAAGATCAAGAAAGGGTGCAACGAGAAGCTGAAATAGAACGTTGAATTGTGCAATGCCCTTTCATTGAACAAATAAGATGAGGCCAACCTTTGGGGATGCCTCGCAATGCTAGGAGGAATCTTCCTCGAGATCAAGAGAAGGATAATTATGATGACTTTGATGAGGAAGAAGCTTCCTATCCAAGGGAAGATAACGACGACTTGAAAGGCATTAAGATGACAATTTCTTCGTTTAGAGGTATTAGCAACATGAATGCATACCTTAATTGGGAGCGAAAGATGGAGTTAATCTTTGATTGCCATAACTATTCCAAAAAGAGAAAGGTAACCCTAGAAGTTCTTGAGTTTTCGGATTATGCTATGGTGTGGTGGGATGAATTATGCACCAAGAGGAGAAGGAAAAGGCAACGTCCCATAGAGACTTGGAAGTACATGAGGGGCATCATTAGAGATCACTTTGTTTCGAGAGATTGCACAAGCTTTGATACCTTCTCAAGAAGAACTAGAACTTAAAATAGAAGATGGACCAAGCTTTCAATGCAAGTCAATTCAAATGGGAGATTATGGTGCGATTGTTGGGCATATGGAGTTCGTTATTGGAGATGAAGTGTCATACAAGGAGGTTCATATTAGAAAGAGAGGAAGACTTCAAAAGTTTGTGGATAAGTTTGTCATTCAAGGTGCATATTCAAGTTGGGAATAATGGAGCCATGCGAACACATTTATATGTGGAAGTAAGATTTGAGGGCGTATCTTATTCAAGAGGGAGGGATGATGCGATCATCTCACCCCCTCATTATCTTATTCGAGGTCAAATAATTTCTTCACGTGGACCATAGACCAAGAGAGGAATTAAGTCGTTCAAAGAGAGAGTGGGAGCATTCAAGCTGGATGAAAATGGTTGTACAAGCAAAGGCTACAGGTTTGTTGATGAGAAATGGATTAGCAAGATATTCACTTCTCGCGATCCAAAAATGAAGTTTGGAGTTCGGATATATAAGGATCAATTGGGGAGCCCTCTTGATGGATAAATGGGTTGCTTACAGCATATGAGCCATGACCATGCCTGGATGAAAGTGTGGAGTTGGTTCATTACATAATAATTGAAGATGGACATGTTTTGCATACCAGAACCGTTAAGTACTTTCTTGCTTCCCAAGAAAGGCATTCTTGCTGCCTAGTCGTCAAGTCGTCCAAGTATGAAAAGGAGAAGGAAGGAGATTGCTTAACCACTTATAAGGAGCTTCCTCAATCATTAAAAATGTGTTTGAGAGATTACTTAGCTACTAATGAGCTTCCTTTAGTCATAAAAACGAGTTTAATTTGCTATTTAATTTTATTATGTTTCTTAATTAGTTTGGGATCTGTTTTCATATTCTTAATTAGAAGGTTAGATTTATGTTTTTGTGACCTTTACAAGTAGATGGTGTAAGCCTGGGAATTTTATGGTATATCGAATAGTTATCAAATAATAAAGAGTTTATCTTGTGTTCCTTTATGAACATTTGCTCAAATCTTCTGTCGAGTAGTCCAGGAGTTTGCGGGTCTCTTATCAACTAGAAGATCACATCTAATTGTGACGAGTTTGACCACAATCTGTTAACCCTTCTCACAAGTTGAGATTGTTTGATCGATTCCCGCTTTTATCCTTTGGATCGAGTGAAGCAAATGTGAAGATGAAATTTGGTTGTGTACTTTGGTAACCTTTACTCATGGGTTGGCTTTGAATTTCGAGTTTGATTGAGCAATTATTATTACAATTATAATAAATTACTATTGAAGCGTTCATGTCTTAATAGTTATTTTTTAAAAGTATATTTATTGATATTTATGATTATTACACAAATTTTTATGTTATTAAATAATATATTGTAAATCTGTTCTATAATAATATAATTTACTTGCTTTTCGGTCTATTAGCACTCCTACTTTTTCATTGGAAACAATAATTTTTCGCTCCACTCCGGTTACTCTCCCAACAAATTACACCCACAACAATTCCCCGTTAACTTCCACCCGTATGGAATTTGCACCATGTAGTTGAAGAAAAAGGTGGAGCCTAAGCCATAAATGGTGTTACAAGAATAGGATAGTAATAGTTGATACATTTTATTGATGACATGAAGAGATATGGGCATGCATAAGTAATGAGGGGAATTTTAAAATAATTTAGTACCTTAGTACGTACATAATAAGTTGGCGAAAATATGAAATATTGAGAGCAAGAGTTTAAGAGTGAGAAAGCATCGATAATCCAAGGAGTAATAAGGAGAAACAACACATAAATTAATTATTATTTGAGTTGGGTTTGGGTTTGGGTTTGGGTTGGGTTTGGTTTGAGGTGGAGAAGAGTGTGTGGAGATTGAAAGGCCTGATTGTTGAGTTGCGGCCAGCCCAGAGGGCCTTGGAGATGCGGCTGTAAGTGTGCTCCGAGGGATGGAAGTAATCCCAAAACAAGTAGTCTCGCGGGTTCCCGCACTCCTTGTACCCTTCCTTCCCACACTGCACCATCCCTCCCAGCCTCCCCTCCCCGCAGCAAGCGTTGCTCACATCCTTGAAACCTGCGAGCCAAGCCCACACACCACTACTTTAATTCTTTATTTTTTTTTAATTCTTTATTTCACAAATCAAATCATAATGAATGAATGAATGAATTAAGGTCTTACTTACCGTATCGAGGCGGGTCCGCGCGGAAGCGCTCCACCAAGTGGAAAACGTCCCCGAACACTGCGACGGCGCCGGGGTAGTTTGCGGGCACGGCCTTGACGAGATCCTCGAGGCCGGAATTGTAGATCCGGACCATGGAGTTCATCTGGTCGTAGCACTTGTCGAGGGGCGCGGCAGGGAGCAGGGCCCTGGCCGGAACGCAGCCGACGGGGCCAAGGGAGAAGACGGCAATTCTGCGGCCGCCCACCCCGTAGATTCGGGAGATGAAGCTGGATACCTGGGCGAGCATGGACCTGACCATGGCATCAGGGTCCAGCTGGCTCGGCGGGGCGAAGGGGAGGAAGTAGTTGAAGATGTCGTTGGATCCCGATTCCAGCAAGAAGATGGACTGCCGGATCTCCGGGGTCTGGAATTGCTTCTCTTGGATTAGGGCTTCGAATTGCTGCAGCTGCTCCTCAATTGCAGTCACTCCCTGCCGCCACCCCCCATCAATCAATTTTGAATTATATTTTATAGGTGGTTTGGTTTTGTTTGATTTGGTTTGGTTTGGTTTGGATGCAGGGATGCAATCAATTCAAATGAGCGGCCGTTTAGTGATGCAGAGTAGCAAGCCAACCATAAATTGAATCCAGTAATTTCAGAAAAAAGGGTGGGTAAGACTTGAGAGAAGGAAGGAATAGGAAGGATTACTCTACTCTACTTAGTACTTACCAAGTCTTGGTTTGTGGCGGCAAGGACACCACTGCCGGCGCTAGCAAAGTTGAGACCATTGGAAGGGTAACTCTTCCAACTACCGTTCAAAACCGCACTCTGCGCCTCCAGGAACGGCAGCTGCAGCCCCATTCCCATAAATTGACCTGAGTGAGTGCCATCACAAAAATGTCAACCAAGGCAATGAATTAATTAATAGACGGAACGGAAGCGGGAGTCGCCGCGCCGGACTCACAAATGAAATCCACAACGGTACGCCCGTTGGTGAACCTGCCGGTGGGGTAGTGGAAGTAAGAAGAGCCATAGGGAGGGAAATCCGCCTGAGCGGTGCACTTGTTGTTGAAATGGTTGTTCCCGCCGTCAAAGATGGAGTCACCGAACGTGAAAACCGTCGCCGGAGCCACCAAACCCAACGCACATGAGAAGCAGGCCAGGTAAACACCCAGAGCTGCGCTCCTCATCATTGTTATTGTGGCTGGGAGCTTCAACGTTAATGTGACAAACTGAAACTGGGTTGGGTGGTCACGTTATATAATATTAGGCCGGGGGAGGGGAGGGGAGGGATGTCCAATTCGGCCAAACAGTTGAAACAGAATGCCCACGAGCAACATGCACGAGAAGAAACTCCCCAATAATAGTAACAAGGTCGGCTTGGAAAGGAAACCACTTGTCATTCAAACTTAACACTTAACACTACGTTTCTGCTTTCTCGACTCGCCTTCACAATTAACTAACCACTTGTCAAGCAAACGATAACTCACTTTTTAGTTTTCTTGTTTTTTTATTCTATTGAATTGAATGTTCTATTGTTATCTTCTATTCAGAAATCAGTCAAATAAAAATAATACTATATCTCTATGTATAAACCGAGAACCAACCAAGGGGGAAAGGCTCATTACTTTTCTGGAAATATTATCAACGGGTGAAATTCATATGTCAAATCGTTAATATTCAAGTATTCTACTGAATATGTATACCAAGTATAGAATTCTCAATTTCAAAACTAATACTAATTTTTGGGTAAATTGTAAGGTTGGTCACTGACATTACAAAAAACGTTTATGTTTGGTAACCAAAAATATTTAATTTCATCCGTGGTCATTGAAAATAATCAAACAGTCCAAGTTTGGTCACTCTCCGTTACCTCCTGTTAACTCAGTCAATTTTTTGATGGCGTGGCTAACAGAAGTATCTAATCAGCTAAATTTAACAAAAAAAATAAAATAATATCCACCCTGCCACATCATTAAAATCAGCCACATAAGATAACCGGCCCAATCCAATCCAACCCGACCCTTCCTCTTCTTCCTCTAGTTGACCCAATTGATAAAAAATAAACCCTACCTCCCATCGCGACAACCGACACCAAGCACACCGTCCTGGTGGCGGAGAAGCTCAGGACAGCCGGGCTCGATCTCCCCCTCGGATCAACTACTTCGCAAATCGCAAGGCTTCCTCTGCTGCCGCCTCTCGCCTGCACAAACGAGCTCAGATCTGAAATAAAATTCCGCCTGCACAAACGCCCTGGCCCATTCCCCAATATCTTATCCATCAGTCGCCCATCAAGTTCTTGATGCTCTGCATCCTTGCTACCCACACCTCTCAATCGTTCCAGGTGGAAGCAAAATTCCAGGAGTGGGCGACTAACATACCGGTGGAACCGGAGAACCCAAAAGTGGCCTCTTATATATGGTTGGTTCGGGTCGGGTTTGAATGATGTGGCTGGTCGACTTTTTTTTTAATTTAAAATTAGCTGATCAGATGCTTCTGTTAGCCACGTCAGCAAAAAACTGACGGTGTTAACGGAGACTAACGGAAGGTAACGGAGAGTGACCAAACTTGAATTGTTTGATTAATTCCAATGACCACGAATGGAATTAAATATTTTTGGTGACCAAACATGAACGTTTTAGTAATCTCAGTGACCAACGTTGCAATTTACCCCTAATTTTTAGATGCACCACAAATTCATAATATTAGGGTTAATTGTATGGTTGGTCACTGAGATTACAAAAAACCTTCAAGTTTGGTCACTCAAAATATTTAAATCCATTGGTGGTAATTCAGTTTAGTGAAACCGTTCACGTTTGGTCACTCTCCGTCCAACTCCGTTAACTTTTGCTTACATGGCGGTCAACCCCAAAAATTTGACCGTTAAATGTGTTACGTGGCAATTTAAAAATAATAAAATTAAAATTTTCAAAATTATCATCTCATTTCCACCTCATTGTCATTTTTATTTAAAATAAATAAAAAACCCTATTTTTTTCTAATCCTCAATATCAATACCCCGCCGCCGACATACTCCTGCCGTCGCTGCCGCTTCCATTGTTGGGCTTCCTTCCTATAGGACCGGAAATCTCAACAATGGAAGCGGCAGCGACCGTGGAGTATGCTGCCTTCACATATACATATATGCCGCTGATTAGTACTGGTCGAAAAATATGCACGCGCAACTGCCGCTTCAATTAGGGATGACAATAAAACCCATGGCCGCGGGTACCCGACCCAGTCGACGCGGGGAATCCCCGCTTTGACCGGGTATGGGGCGGGTATGGGTAAAACCCGCAAAAAGTTTGATGGGTATGGGGCGGGTATGGTTTTAGCCTCCTCCGCCCCATACCCATACCCGCCCCACCAAGAGAATTTCTTCACATATCAAAAAATATGTGGATTAAATTGTAATCTATCAATGATGATGATGATAACTCGAGAAAATAAATAGTAGAAATGCAATTGAGTAACCACCTTAATCAAAACCTAATTCATTTCCCTCAATTCTCCTTCCACTCTTTCACTTTCCCCCTTGTTAATAAGATTATGTTAGTTAATTATTACTTAGTAAATGTATCAAGAGTTAGAGCATAATAATTTAAAAAATATTATAGTCTATATTATGTATTAATGGATGTTTTAGGATCATATTCTTTGAATCGTATTTAGAAAATGACCGTGTTTTGTTGACTTCATGATATAATAGGTTTGTTTATGGTTATAATTAAAACTTTTCTTGTAAGTTTTAGGTATAATAATGTTGGATGTACGGGGATGGGTATTACCCATGGGTACCCGAAACCCACGGGTATGGGGATGGGTTTGCAAAACATTTCCCCGCATGGGTATGAGGCGGGTATGGGTTTGGGTATTTAAAGATGAGGATGGTTTAGGCAAACCCGCCCAAACCCGCCCCATTGCCATCCCTGGCTTCAATTCAATTGCATGCCCAGCTGCTAGTTAAATCCCTCCCTGCCACTGCCATAACTAACAGCGAACTAAATTGTTTTTGGGAATTACAACGAAATAAATAAAATGAATAATTAACATATTATTATTATATGCCTCAGCCCTTAGCGTCACCATGTCCATTGTACGCATAAAGAGATGTCACTCCATTTTAAGTTGTTGCTTCTGTTGCTGAGGTCTGGGTCCTGTAGTTGCAGTCTAGCAGAAACACTTGTGTTTTTCATTCCTTCTCCTCCTGCTCGAAGACTGTCCATTGACTTCATCCATTCCCAGCAGCTTACGACCTCCCCATCGATCTGATATCCTCAATCAAAGCTTCCAGATTCCAACCCGACGACCCGTCCAAACTAACACTCCGTCTCGCCAGCGACGGCGGGGTATGTTGCCTTCCATGGTTGAGATTTCCGGTCCGGTGGGAAGGAAGCCCAACAATGGAAGCAGCAGCGACGACGGGGTATGCTGCCGGGGTATTGGTACTGGGGATTAGAAAAAATTAGCGTTTTTTATTTATTTTAAATAAAAGTGATAATAAGGTGAAAATGAGATGACTATTTTGAAAATATCAATTTTATTATTTTTAAATTGCCACGTCGCACATTTAACGGTCACCTTTAGAGTTGACCGCCACGTAAGTAAAAGTTAACGGAGTTGGACGGAGACTCGAAGAGTGACCAAACATGAACAGTTTCACTAAACTAAAGTACCACCAATGGATTTAAATATTTCGAGTGACCAAATTTGAAAGTTTTTTGTAATCTCAGTGACCAACCATACAATTAACCCTAATATTATATTTGAAATTTTTGTATGGCACCGGTATTATGAAAGGTTTTAAACCGGTTAATCATCGATTATGCGATAAACCTTAAATCTCTCAACAATCTAGATCGTTGTCCGGTCCGGTCTTGACAACATTGCACAGAAAAGCCTTGTTATTCGATTCGCAATTAACCACAAATCGCACGATTCCCATACAATTAGCAATTTAAACACAAAACCGCAACCATATTGCCTTCCACAACAACAAAAGTCCTCGCGGAAAAAAGAGAGCCCGATTTGTTATTCCAGTCGGAAATTTTGTATCCTTTTCTTTGCTTTACAACCAATGCAAACGTCCTTCCTTCCGTAGGGAATTAAAGCCAAAATTGAGGGAAAAAGGCTCCGATTTTCCACGAAAGATGTGTTAATCCCTGACGTAATACATGTCAACAAGTTCCTGCAAAAGCCAATCTCGAAACATGGAACATCGCTTCTTTCCGGAAGTGGGGAACAAAAAAGACAACAGGCGAAATCAAAGAAACTCGGGAGGGAGTAAGAAGAAAAACAAGAAAATGCATGCAATTGCTTCATACGGTCCCATCTCTTATCCTCTTTGCAAGTACTAGCCAACATATACACCATCAAATGAAGTTGGAAAGAAAGAGTGGCAACGTCACATACAACAAACTAGACAGATCAAGAATGGCACTCTAGTAATCATTCCTCATCAGACACCACAACCACACCCACGCCGGCAGAAAATCCAAGCTACCCCAACAAACATGACATTACAAAGCTTATATATGATGAGAAAAGGCTGCAAAACCAATCAAGTAAAACCACATACCTACACAATTATATTATTATCATTGCTTGTAATAGCCCCCGCCGATGCTGCCGCCTTGGTAAGGAGGATATGGCCCAGGAACTGTGTAGGGAGGGCGTGGCATTGACCCTTGTTGCTGCTGCTGCTGCTGCTGTGCATTGTTGTAGTATGGGCCACGCCATCCCGGATACGCTGGTTGCCCATACTCTTGCCCTGGTTGCGGTGGGTAAGGAGCGCCAGGTGTGGGATGAGGGATGTGATAAGGAGGTGGCGTCTGGGAAGTGCTGTATGGGGGCAGAGGATGTGCATATCCTGGCATTGGTGACTGTTCCTGCTGGGGTTGATGATAGTACGGGGGGGTTTGTTGCGAGTGACCATGCTGATGCACGTTCTGTGGATCAGCTGGTGGAGATCTCTGATGGTTCACCGGGGGATAGTTGTTGTAAGGAGCTGGTGATGGCGATGATGTGTTCTTGCGATCCTGGAAACTCAATCCTGCCACCTGTCTTTGTACATCTTCCATCATTTCCCGGCACTGGATGCTCCTTGTCATCACAAAATCGCTGCTCTGCTGCTTTATGTTGGTTATTGCATCCTGTGGTCAGTCATAAAAGTGAAAAAAGGTAAATGAATATCAAATATCAACACATCTCTTGATCCAGCAACTTCATAATAGTAATTCACAAATAAGTGTATTTCAGAAATGATGGACGAATGGTTTACCTGAAGAGTGACATAGAACTTCAATCCTTCATTGATGTTGTCCTTGATTTCTCGATATTTTGCAACTGCAGCTTGTATTTGCTTATAGCACTTCTCACGAGACGCTGATATAAAATCCAGAAGGAAAAAAGCTTGTCAACAGGTTGAACTGGATCTTCAGAGAATGTCAAAGCAATGAAACTAAGTACAGCACAGTTAACAAACTAGCAAAGGGCTGATATCCTATTGACGAAAAAAATCACATTGCAGTATCACACCCAATGGTAACACTGATGCATTAAAAAAGACAGGACAGATACATGGACTGAATGCCAGCTGCCGAAAATTCTTGGAGCAGCGCTTACCATGAGAAATCAGTCAATATTTACACTCCATTCGAGCCGAATTTTTTTGTTTCATAATTTTCAAGCTTAGTGTGCATGCTAATAGTTATCAGTCATATAATGACACAAATTAAGGTTTGGCAATTTCAGACAAGGACTTGATATCTGAGGAAATACTGAAATAATACCTCTATAGTCTTCAAGATTGAAGACAGCTGAGAACTGTTCATTTTGAGCCTGAAACCAAAAAAAGAGTATATATGTCAATCTTTTGAGAAATACAGCCAACTATCAAGCAACTGCCTCAAGAAAGTAAGGATCAAAGTTCTCCTAGGAAAATACGTACACAAGACATACGTCCGTACAATCAAATTCTCATCATACCAGATACCATCGACAAGAAAAGGAAGTTCAAACCCAAAAAAAAAACATAGATATGCAGTTACTATCCAGAACTTCATTGCTGAAGAAGTTTGCAAAGGTAAAAATGGGGGGAGAGGAGGGGGGGAGGGGGGGGGGGGGGGGGGGGGGAACACGTATGGAATCAGATATCGATCATTTCAAAGAGGAATGGACCTGAATATGAAACAGCAGCTGTTCCTGTGCCTCGATATTGTGCCCAATGTCCTGGCAAATGCTATCATACTTTGCTATCTCTTTTCTGAACAGATCGTCATAAGACCCCGTGGACGTCATCAACTTTGGTAAAATGTCATCCTGGAACAAGAACATACAGGCTAAGCATAAGAAAGCACTAGATATGTAAGGGATGTACAGTTTATATTATAGCATGTGCGTACATAAATAACCTCATGAATATTGTCCATCTACAGTACTCTAGTTTGGTAGTCAGGGTTTGACATATGATCCAGATAAACATGAACTAATGCTCAACAATGAAAGCAAGAAACATTCACCACTGATTGCAAGTGCCAGTCTCGTAAACTCTCGTATTCGAGAAATTATCATGACTTCGAAGACATTCACACACAGGTTATAATCATCTCATAACATTAAGCTTCGTAGAAAGTAAACCATCTAGTCTCTGTCCAACCTTTCTTTTCATCTCTTTGAGCATATCTTCAAGACCGGCCCGTTGAGCACCAAGATTCTCCAATTGCCTCTACATGTATGAACGTACAGAGATTAAGCTTATTTGTACATCGTAATATTAGTTTTGGAAAGCACGGAGCAAAATACTGCAAGAAACTTCATTAGCAACACAGTTCAGGATACTGGAAGAGAACTTTGATGCTCGATAGGCAAACAGACATCAAGGTTCTTTAAAGTGATAAATGATATGAAGTTTCACTATTTATGCCTTCTACATAACCATTATGCTTCTTTTTAAACATTGAACTTATGGAATTGTGTGTTTAGATCTTTCAATCCATCCCTGGCCAGCATGTTAGTCTTAAGCATTTGCTGGTGTCACACCAGATCCAGAGTTTTTCCAGGACAAGTTCTCAACATAAGAGAATGAAAGGAAGGTGGTGACCATAAGTTCTCTTGAGATTGCATAACCATTTATCTCAAGGCCACAAGATCTAGTATGAGCATGACTCCACTAGCTAATAAAATCCAATTTCAGAGCAAATCAGAAAGCATTGAAGTCGCTGTAGCAGCTATCAAGAAAATATTGCAATTTAACTTCAAATGCAGATTGAAGTATGCATCTCATTTGCAACAATAAAATCCTGAAAATTACATTGACCATACGCTTGAATAATAGCAACAACAGGATGTATGTCCAATTGTCCGGTCATTCTTTTCCATGACCAGCAGTTTGCTATGGATCATACAAAAGAAAGGAAGATAAACAGGATCTAAAATTCTGCAGAATCAATAAGAGAAAGAAGATATCATACCAAACTCTGTTTAAGAGCCCCTACTATGGCATCCTCGTTTGCATCCAGCGACATAATTGGCCGAGACAAAGTAGGAAGTGCAGATTCTATCTGGTAGAGCATAGTGCATACAAGTCAAAAATATAGATAGCACCAGAAAGAAGAAACCCAAAGAAGAAGGGATCTTAGATCCAAATCAAACAACTGTTAACTCCGCTACTAAGTCGAGCAAATTCATCACCATGAGGGATTGTCCAGTAAAAGAGAAAACAAAGAAAACATCCACATATATGAACGTAGGAACAAAAAGAAAATCCCAATTATATCAACAACTGAAGCTCAATAACTCATAGAGTAATTAAGTAAATAAGTAATTAGGGACAACTTATGTGGCAAAAAAAAAAAGTAGTATAATTTCAGGAAGGCACCATCATTATTTTATATATATGTATAAACAGTAATTGGATTTTATACATGCATAAACAGTAATTGGAATACAAGATAGAGGAAGGTATACCGGACGCTTATCAAGTATGGCTATATGACCATAGTTGTCCCTGACTGAGCGCTCAATTCTAGCATCACTTTCGGCAGCTTGTTTTAAGTTCCCAGCAAATCTGTTCAACCTATCCAGCAAGTTCTTTGTCAATGTACTCGAATGAGGCCTAGTCCATCGAGTGCCAAATTGGCTTCTAAATTGAGAATCCTCTGTAGCTTCCTTTTGCAGAAGTTCCTCAGTCTGAATTAATAGTTCTTGGTTCACTCTTCGCAAGTCCTTTAGTTGCTGTAGCTCAGCTTCCAAGCCAGTTGGACCACCGCTAATCTGCACTGCTTCAACATCTTCTTTAAGATCTTGAGGCAATGTGACACTCCCTTCTAAGACAAGAATAGAGTCCGGAAGATCCATTTCCTTCAATCGCACTCTTGCAAGTTCACTCCCCTGTTGCAATTTCTCAGCTTGTGTCCTGATAACGTCGTCAACCATTTCAGTGTACCTGGAAAGAGCTTTAGCACTATTATCTGGTACCAGACTAGCAAACATCTTCTCCTTGCTTGCATCCAGCACATCATTCATAGGCAACGGCTTCACCATAGAAAATGATGGGAGGAGGGGCAAAGAATGAGGTGATGGAACTCTCATGAGGTATACTCTATCATTCTCTTTTACAGCCCTCTCTAAATTCCGATTAATATTGGCTTCAAGCTTGCTAATAGCATCCAGAAGCTGCGCTGCAGCCCCTCTCGAGTTTTTTTTGGCTTCAGCCAAGGCACTCACCGCCGTTCTCAACCGCGCAATTTCTTCAGCAATTTCTTCCTTCTCATGGAGCTCTAAACTGTATCGGTAGCAAGCCTCAGCAAAGAATAGAGCTGCTTTTAGCTGGACATGAGCAATCCATGCTCTATCAAAATGATCTTTCAGAGGAGCAACATTCAATGCTGCAAAAGCTTCCTCATAGTATATCCCAACCTGTTGTTATATACCGATGCTAAATTAGTTAGAGAACTAGAAGAACATCATAAAAGTAGGACATAGAAGCAACTGAAATATCATCCCACACAGTACTTCTTGGACAGGATAAGGAAGGAGCACAAATAGGAAAGATCTTCCTCCCCACAAAATTAAAGCTCCCTGCTTTATAGCGAGACCATTAATGACATCATTGTGATACAAGTGGCAGTTTCTATAGTGTAATTTTAACTCTCAGCAGTGAGATGGAAGAACAAACATATGCGGACCTATAACTAAGCATTATGATTAGAATATGTCGGATAATCACACGTCAAAATGAAATGTTCTCCACCAACTGCTGCTGCATCTAGAACACTAAGCTAAGACTTCATTACCAGTTCGTGAGCCACCCGATCACTTGGTCCGAGTAACCCACCTACCTTTCAACTCCGGCGAGTACTCTCAGGAGTCAACATTCCAGCCTAAGTTCCAGACCAACTAAAAGACTAGAGTGGCTGAATATTCTCCCAATTAATGTCAGTAGATCAGCTAACCAGACCATAAGAACTCAGAATTTCAACAATCATCCTCATCACAGAAACTAACCAGCAGCCTCACCACCAATCAATTTGACTACATAAAATGAAAAGGAGAAACCTAAAAAAAACACCCACGAACCTGCCTCGAAATCTTAGCACAAACCCCAGGAGTACTCCCTTTGGCAATGGTATTCTCAAACACGCACTCTTGCGCTTGTGCCAGCATAAGCCGCTCCAACATCCCGGCACACTCCACCGAGACATCCACAGTAGTGCTGGACCCCATGGAAGCCTTGGCCGACGCGTTATCCCTCAGGTACGCAAACGCGCCGGCGGCGGCAATAAACGCGTGGATGGCCTGCTTCCGGCCTTCCACAGTAGCGCGATCATAGGAAAGGCCGATCTGGCTGTAGACGGCACCCAAATTGAAGAGGACGGCGGCCTTCTCCAGATGGATGCTCTGCTGGGAGGCCTTGAGCTTGTTCTTGAAGGCGTCGTGCCAGACGAAGGTGAGGGTGTTGACGTGATCCTTGTCAGATGAGATAGGGAATCGAGTCTCGACGAGGCAGAGGGCCTTGTAGTAGGTCTGGAGGAGGTCGCGGCGGGCGGTAGGGGAAGGATCGGACTGACGCTCGAGATCGGAGCGGTACTGCTTGAGAGTCTGGAGGTCGTCCTCGAGGTTCTGGGCTTCGCGCTCGGAGTAGACGAAGGTGATGTAGTTGCGGAGGGAGCGGTAGAGATCGATGGAAGTGGTTTTCTTCTCGTAGATAGCGAGCATGATGTTGGTGGTGGCAGGGGACGAGGATTGGGCGGCCATGGCGGACGAGGGAAGAGGAGGAAGATTGAGGAACGATTTGGGGGGAAATTGGAGGGTAGAAGAAAATTTCGTGATGGTTGGTTGGTATTCGGCAATTGACTGACTTATACTTAATACTAATAGTATGTATGCTTATTAATTCTGGTATTAGGTTTCCGGTTTCCTTTGCAGCTAAGGAAACAGCTGCAGAGCTGAGACGGTTGACAGATGGAAATTTGAGGAATGTGGGCAGTGGACAGCGAACGAGTTGGGAACGAGAGGAAGAAGGTCGCGGGGGTTCTTCTTTTTTCTTCCATCAATAATTTACTTCTTACAATTCCAATAAACAATTTCTTTCTTTGAGAAATAACGAGGAAAAATGTTAAGAGCGTTAATATGGTATTAATATTAGTTCCAATTAAGGGCGCGCTGCGCGCATATGCCACTAGAACTCGAATCCGCGGTACACTGCCCGGTCCAAGATAGGGTCAGTAACCACTAGTTACTGATCCATTAGTAATCACATGGGAGCCGTAGATTTGGGAATTGAGCAATCGTGTGGCTGGGCTGAATGTGGGGTGGGGAGGAGCATTTTTGTCCGTTTTTGTATTTTTAATTTTTTTTATTCATTCTACATTTCAATGGCTGACTTTTCAATGAAAGACAATGAAAGAGAGAGAATGTCATTTTCTCTACAACTCAACTTTCTTCCTTCTCTCTTCCTTTCTTTCAATCTCTTTCCAGATTCTTTCTCTTTCTCTATTCCTTCTCTTTTACTTTTCCTTTCACAATCTCCTTTTCAAATTTAGATCCGCTCTCTTCCTTCTTCATTTTTTTTCTCTAGCAATCGACGAACAAAAATTGTAGCCACTCTCTTTCATTGCATTTCTTCTCTTCATCAACTCGTTGGCCTCAATTCCGATCTTTCTCATTTTTTTGGCATTTTGGTGTTCTTGATTGAGGAAGAGGAAATGAGAGACATCAGAAGACGATTTTTTCTCTCTCTCCTTCTGTTTTTTTTCCTTTTAGATAATATATATTGATATTATGACTCTATACCATATGGTATTGGGTGGTAACGAAATATATATTGATATTACCACACTATACCCTATGGTAATGTATGGTATTGCGTGGTAACGAAATATATATTGATATTACCACTCTATACCATATGGTATTCTGTGATATTACCATACTATATCATATGGTATTGTGTGGTAACGAAATATATATTGATATTACCACACTATACCATATGGTATTGGGTGGTAACGAAATATATATTGATATTACCACACTATACCATATGGTATTGGGTGGTAACGAAATATATATTGATATTACCACACTATACTCTATGGTAATGTATGGTATTGCGTGTTAACGAAATATATATTGATATTACCACTCTATACCATATGGTATTGTGTGATATTACAACACTATACCATATGGTATTGGGTGGTAACGAAATATATATTAATATTACCACACTATAACATATGGTATTGGGTGGTAACGAAATATATATTGATATTACCATACCATATATGGTCTTATTTAATACCGGTCAATACCATATGGTATAGACTGGTAATAACCGGAAATTTTTTTATGTCCAAAAAATATCAAAGTGGGTATCATTTTGAAGGGCACAATTAATCTGATCTAATTGTGCAAAAAAAATTAAATTCCGACTTAAAACGAGTGAGAAATCGTCAGTTAAAGATTAAGAGAAGAAACATTAAAGCTTTTTCGAGGAGAGAGAAGGAGGTGCTGATGTGGTCCGGTCAAAAGTCAGCGTCAGTATTAAAATAGGTGTAAGTGCAATTTTACCTTCTGCCCTTCCGCATTTAATTTAAATAAAAAAGAGGATTGACACGTGGAGATCAGAGAAGGAGTTACTGATGGGTTACTGACCCATCAGTTACTGACACGATCCGCTCCCCACTGCCCAGCAGTGGAACAAGAAATTTTATATAGGGGTGTTCTCTTATAAAAAATAAATTAAATAATTCTTAACTAACAAAGTACCTTACGTTAAAAAAAGTTCACGATGTGTTTTCATATTCGGAAATAATTGTAAAATATACTTGGTGTCTACACTACTAAAAAAATTGTGTTTGTATATCCTACTATACAATCATTCCCGAACTAGTAGCATATTTGATTTCTAAACTTGTTATTAACGCAACCCAAAACTGAAAAAACTCTTTCATCACTTGTTGTGCAACCATAAAATCAATACAAATTAAGGGTAGGTTGAAATTAGTTGAATTGTTATTTTTTGAAAATAGTTAGAGATAGAGAATGGTATTTTACTATTACACGGGAGAGAGTCAGAAAATTGAATACTTCCACTTTCCTTCTTGTTCATCAATCGGGAATCAAGATAAACCGGGTGTTTAAAATCAAACAACAAATGAGTTGTAGCCTAATGGAAATTATGTTTATTAATAATTTTAGTGTCTTAGATTTGAATTATCCAAACTATCACTTATATTCCCATGCGCAAACTAAAAAATGTGAGTAGGATAATCATTTTTTCAAATTTCAGGGGTCTCTCCAACTATCAAATATATTTTTTTGTCTATAAGTTAATTACTACAGGGGATTGGATAATCGTTTTCTCGGTCCGCCCCTGAACCTACCTGATCCAACCCGGTCAAAGCGGGTAAAACCCATTTTGACGGATTGCGGGTCAGGTTCGGGTTTAAACCCCTGTACTTTTGTGGGTTGGATTTGGGTTTAGCCATATCCAACCCGTGGATACCCGCACCCAAGTCCACACCGCCCACGACCCACGAAACCCTTAACTAATTAACTATAATCACTAAACTAATTCCTCACAGGTTCAATTAATCATATTGTTTGTGAATGTTTATCTTTAATATTGAATAACTACTATGAATGATTTATGAGTTAGTGGGTATGTAGTAGACAATAGTAGTGAAAAAACTAGTATAATTGCATCTTTGTACATGAACTCATGGGTACACATGAACCCGCGGATACCAAACGGGTTGGGTTGGGTTTGAGTTTTCCAAATCCATGGTTTTACCTCGGGTTTTTTTATTATTATAAACCAATGAGTTTGGCATAACCCGCCCCAAACAGACACATTGCCATCCCTAGCACACAGGGTGTTATGCTAACATTATTTACAAGGTAGTAAAGTAAAATTACTGCTCCTCCGTCTCATCTCCCTATCCACCGACAGCCATGGAATCATGATTCCAAACCCAACCTTTGCGCTCCTTCTCCATAACGACAAAACCCACGAATCTCCGATTCGAGCAGAACTTAGGCAGCATGGGAGCCAGATTGGCTGCGGAATCCCCCATCATCTTTGACTTTGTCAACCTCCATTCCAACGAATCTTGCTCAATCGAGGTCGAAACCAAGAAAAAGCCGCTTCCTAAACTGAAGTGGATGAAAGAAGCAATTCAAGGCGGGGAGAAGTATGTTTAGATCAAGAAGAAGTTGAGGGAATCAAAGCTCCGTATTGTCCGCGAGGAGGCGAAATGCCCTAATTTGGGGCTTGTGTTGGTGAACTTGTGGTGTTTTTTGGCCTATGTTTTAAGAAATTAAATTGGTGGTATACTTTAAAAAACTTGTGGTGTATTTTAGCTGTGTTTTAGTGAACTCGTGGTCTCGTTTAGTGAATTTGTGGTTTGGCCTTTGAAGTAACCGAACATGTCGAGCACACTTCATATGCTCTACATTTGGCATGTCATCATGGAGCGCGTCCACTAGCCCCACAAATTTCAGATAAATAATACAAGTCGGATTATTTAAGATAAACACTCCCAAAAGCAACTATAATTTTAACATACCTTTTGTTGGTCTAGCACGATAGTCCACCCATTGCCATCATCCGACTCAACTTGCTCTTACAATGCCTTAATGAACCAATTCCATGAGCTTTTGTTCTCCGACTCTACTATTGCCTACGCAATTAGGGGTGGGCAACGGGAAACAGGTATTTGGGTATACACATACTCGTCCCGTTTTTTGAGGATTACGGGTACCCAATTATCCATAATTTTTTTTACGGGTTGGGATATGGGATGATGAAGTTCTATAATGGGTACCCACGGGTAACCCGTTAATACCCGTGTGAGTATTACGGGTAACCGTACTGCCCGCCCACCGAAATTATATAAAATAAATGGCATTTTATTTTGCAGCAGCCCCTACGGTATACAACTCAATATACTTGTCTTTGGCTGGCCAAGTAATGAAGGTCTAAGTTTTATATTGTGTTGTCCAATTAAGCCAATAACCCTCCAATTGTTATTAGAAAGTTATGGTTAACTTTACCATGTTTGATCATAAGTTCACTTCTCACCCGCTAATGTTTTTTCATTTTTGTTAATCTTGATCTTAAGTTCCATTGATATAGTGAGATACTTGCTTGTGATAAATAGGCATGCTTCTTGGTACGAAGAAGAATGTGTTGACTAGTAATTCTTAAAGCCGGAAGAAAATTTATAGCCACTACTAGTTTTTTTTCCTGATGTTGTGATCTCACAAAATTAGACGGCGAATACCCGTGGATACTTGTTATCCGTCACGTATGGGTAATGGGTACCCGTTAATCCATACGGGTTTGGGATATGAGATGGAGTTTTCTCTCCAAATGGGATTGGGTACCCGTTTCAAACGGGTCGGGTACCCAATCCCGTCCCATTGCCCACCCCTACAAGCAATTGGCAACATATGATTGTTATTGAATTGAGCGAGGGAAACTATGGTCAGACCTAATGGCTTTAACCATAAATGCCTCAAGTCCGTGAAACCAACTAGCATATATTCTCTACATGCACTGATACGCTCCCCTTTGGATACACATTGCTTCCTTCCTCTATCATTTCTCCTCATCCATATGATATGAGCACCTATCTCAATTGGATTTTTAATAACAACAGACTTAAAATGATTGGGAAAGGTGAATCACATGTGTTTAAACTTCAATGTTTTATGATCACATTTGGGACCATAAAACACGCTCGATCCCCTGTACTATGTATCCATCGACCCTTCATCATTCACTTCGTCCTCCACAGCCTTACTAGCATCAAGCTCCACAGTCTCACTCACATCAAGCTCCACATTCTTACTAGCCTCACCCCTTCTCACACTTGCACACTCTTTACACACATTGAAATGGTGGTTAACATCCCACACAAATAATTGATCCACTTCACTCCATAACCATCAAACTTTGCTATACGGTCTTGCCTCCTTCGAACATTGGTCCTAATTTCATGATACTCCTCGTCAGATGTCTAAGCATCTTCAACTTCATCCAAATGAACAAATTCTAGTACAACTGAGTTTTCTCAAGAATCATCCGAGCCTTCATGATCATGCACATAATTGTCTCCCATTAAATCCACCTCTCCAAGATCCTTCGATGCCTCATAGTAAACTCTTAACTCTCCTTTGCCAACCTCTAGAAGTAATCTAGTAACATCCTCAACATCCGAGACTATTTCATGCAACCCAGTAGCCATGCTTTTCCCCGGGGTTAACTATCAATCTCTCTTAACCGAAATATACTCCAAATCTTCAAAACAAAGTGTTCGTCAAATCGAAATAGGACAACACATCACGATGAATTGTCACAATATCTACAATTTACCCAACATACCGTGGAACATCCCCCACCATATCTATAGCGCCTCCATTGATATAAAATAAGCTCAATCATCTCATCCATAATGCGAAACATGCTCATTGCTTTAATATCAACTTACTAAACCCGACAAATACAACTCAGGAGCATTACTTTAATCTCAATTCAGTAAGTCTAATAAAGAAAAATTGTGTGCATTACTTTAATCTCAATCTCACTAAAACACGAGCATTACTTTAATCTCAATCTCACTGAACCAGACAAAGACAAACAAAGAGCATTACTTTAATCAAAACCCTAATCTTTGGCTGTGCCTATAAATTAAATCAGAAAATGAAGTGAAAGAAAGAAAGAGATTGCTTACTTTGCTGGTGGCAAACAAAATCTTGTTGTTGTGGTCCTTTGCTAATGTGGCCCCATCATCGTCGCTATGAAAGAACTTCATCCAGTCGACAGCGACACCACGAACACTTCAAAGTAGGGAGAACTAGCTTTATATTGCGCGAGAGTGAAAGAGGTACTGGATCAAAGTAGGGAGAGGGGACGAGTGCGATGGCGGCTGACTCGCACTAACCACATGCTCTCACTTGAAGGCCAAGTATAACCAACGGTCGAGTGTAGTATAGGGTAAGTAAAGTAATGCAATTATTGAATCCACGGGTCTCTAAATGTACCATTACTTCCACTTCTATTCGTTATCTAGCCAAGCAACAATAGTGATTATGAAACTAAGCTAACTAAGCTACTCTAACCATAACTCTAATTGATTACAAGATAGTAGCTCACTTAGTCATGAATCTCCCTAATCCCTTCATTTGTTTGATGTTGAGTACTACTATAGATTGATTGACTCGATACTTCTACTGAGGAGAATTATACACTACAATTGACTCCCTATTCAAGTTATCCAACCCCGCTCAATTGCTCAACCAGAGAGGCGTACCATACAAGTATACAACTAACATTGGCAATTGAGGTTCACAACCAACTACGATTGGGCAAAACCCAATAAGACAATATGGATCAAATCACACTCATTCAAAGGACCATAATGAAGGATTTAAGGTGCGCTATTAAACCTAGGGAGATATTCTCTCTCCTAGGTCAAAGCCAAATTTGTATGTAGTGGGATAAAGACTCATGCAATTCATCATAAACATCAATCAAATAGATAATATGAGTAGTCAATCATAGGATTTGTGACATACATCAACAATCAAACCAAAATCTAGAACTAGGATTCATCTACCTAAGTGAAGAGAGCTAATCCCTAGATAGAGAATACAATATAATGCTTAGAATCTTCAATCTTCATCTTCTAGGGGATGATCTTCAAGCTCCAATGGTGATCCAAGCCTTCAATATTACTCCAAAAACCCTCATATGTCTCTCTCTCTAAAATCGGCCCTTGGGTGTTTTTGGGTGAAAACCTCAGCTGCACCCCTCTCAAAACCCGTTGCTCAATTTTATACCCGCAACAGTGTAATGTTCACGTTTTGTTGTAATGTTCACACCCTAGGCACTGAACTTTGCACAAGGCAGTGAAGTGCAAAGTTCACGGTTTCTTGTAATCTTCACGACCTCCAGGCAGTGAACTCTACACAAGGCCGTGAGATGTTGCCCGTTGTTGGAAATGCATAATCTTCACAATTTGGGTGAAAATGTCCCCCCCCCCCCCCCCGAAATCGTGAAAATCAACCTTCACTTTTAGGCTCATTATGACATCCAAATGGTCAGTAACTCGTTTCTAAACTTCCCACACGTACCAAGCCCTGAAATATGGAAAAGAAGCACAACTTAGCATACATAGGTTGATGAACGACGATCACCAAGTCAAACAATAAAGATATGAAGAGTAAAACCAGTATAATTTAACCAAAATCAGCATAGAAGATTTTAGACCCCCAGCCGCAGCTGCATTATGTTCGATCAAGGGAGGAAGGGGGACCGACACGAGGGAAGGGGAAAGCCAGGGGTGGGTTAAAAATGGGTGATTGGGGGGAGAGATAAGTCGCTGGTAAGGTTAGTAAGACGAGATAATTTTTACTTTTTCCATATTTTAGAAAAAGATAATTTTTACTTTTTCCATATTTTAGAAAAATTCATTAAATTTATAATTTTAGAATATTGGAATTTTTTTATTAGGTTAATACTAATTAGGTGGCGACATAATGGATTTATCGTTAGTCAATAACTTTGATCGTCCAATATAATGGTCAACACTCATCTTAGACTAAATAAGTAAATTTTGATAATAGCATGGACCACGATATTAATTAGTGAAAAAAATGGTTAACAAAAAGTAAATTTGGCCTGAAAATATTAACCCTAAAAATTATTAAAAACGAATATGTTTTATACTGAACATATATGTGATTTGGACAAAAACTTTGGGTAACTTTTGCCACCCCTTGCCACGTCTAACACTTCGAGCCAATAGGCACTCCCAATCTACAACTCTTAACGTCAATGGAATGAGAAATGTACCATACTGTTTCACCCTAATTCGTGCCCAGGGCTAACATAATAACTATTGGGGCTCAGATCTGGACTCACTCGTTCGATCTCTTCAGGAGGCAAGGAACCTGTGAGAAAGAGGAGCGGCCCCCGGGATCTACGCTCTGACGCCCAAATTAGTACGAGATATGATAATGGTGTATGGTATGTGAAATGTAGAGAGATAAAGCTAGAGAGAGAGAACTCAAGTGATGTAAAATGAGGGGGAGAGAAGGTCCCATTGGCTTGTAGGCATGAGTCTCCTTTTATAGAAGTTTTGGGCTTCCTTTCGTGGGCTTAGGCTTGAGAAGATGTGTGGAGCGATGGGGTTGGGCCCATTGATGACGTAGTTGTTTGTAGTATTAGGTGAATAACCCCAACACATACACTTAGAAGCCAAGCTGTAAATCAAATGCCAAGTAACATCTGTTGTGCATACACACATTTCCCCCCTTTTCGTATTACAATTCAGATATGTACCATTACATTTAACCTCTTTGGAAGTAGGCATGGGTTTTTTCAAGGCTAGGAGTAATAATCTATAAGAATAACTACCAAAAATGGTGTTATTAAGCTAAGCACAGAGGCAAAAGGATCTCAACTCTCAAGCCCCTCCGACTGCATCACCTAATCGGCACTTACAGGATCAAATAATTGATAGCAGTAAATTGAGCAACAACAACCGTCCGTAACCATTTTCCAGATCAGAAGTTCTTCAGGATTTTATCTGTTGAGACTCCCTCTTCTACAAGAATTGAAGTTACCTCCTGCATAAATCCAGCTCCATAAATTAACATTTGCAATAAGCAAATTCTTTGAAGCACAAGAATATTACATTGACATTTCAGTCTACAATATAATAGGATGACTAAAGGTGTTAGATTCGGATCCTGTGTTCGAGTTAGCAAGTGAGGTCACTGATCACGGTACCATTCATGCTAGCACTGCGATGTGGCATCATGCAAAGCTACGAATTCAAATAGAAGATGGTTTGCCAAATGTGCCTTCTGTGTGACCAAATACTACAAATTTATTTGAGACGAATATCAGAACATTCAACAAGGTCCTAGCATTTCCAACAAGGTCCAATAGACCCCTACTTTCAGCAACAACAAATCTTCGACAATGGCCCTAATTAATTCCCAGAAGTCCTTCATCATACTATTGATTATACTTTTTTATGATGATATTGATTGTATACTTTTTTGTGCCTCACATTTTCATCAATATACTTAACTAGTTCGGACATTTCTGCCCAACTAACGACACGTTTTTATTACACCAAACAGTAGAGCACATTACATTTTCTGTTCTCTAACATACATAATAAGGCTCATTAAGAAGGGATGAAACATTACTTTGATATATAATATATTTTCGTTTTGCATCCTCAATAAACTCCATAAATAGTTTAATGTACAAGAGCCTAAGCACCCAAGACACTCATGTCCAACAAAGTTGTCAACTTTCACTTTTGTGGAATGTGGACAGAAAGACCATAGTAAGCATTCCATCTAAGCATCGAATCTTCAATTTCAGGCAACATTGCAACCAATCACTCTATCTCGAATTATTCTTTCCTAAATCCTTACCCTTTCTGACTGAAACATGCAACTTGAGTGAGTGATTGGTTGCAATGTTGCCTGAAATATGTATCCCAAAACCTCAAAGAACAAAGTCACCCATCTAGTTCGATACCACCAAATGCAGAGCAATTGTCAGCGAATGCATTCAAACATCCCAAAGCACTATACCAGTCAGTCCTAATGAATGACAAGGCACAGGTTTAACAACAAAGAAACCATCTAACCAAACCCAAACCAGTAGTCAAGTTCAAGTCGAAGTTGTATGAAAAAATTGAAATGACTATAGAGGAAAATCATGTGAAGGGATGAAAGCTTCCAAATTCATTTATAAAAAAATAAAATAAAAAGAAGAAGAAGAAGAAGAAGGGATACATGGCGCTCTGGCAAGTTTCAGTCCATATGAAATCAATCCACATGCACCAAAAGAAAAGGCACTAGGTATTTTTTAAGGACAAAGACGAACAAGTTTGCCAACTACAGTGATTGAATTCTTGGTACAAGAAGGTGAGGAAGCCAAAGTTAAGTGCATGGAAAGTCAAACACAACTCCAATATCTCCTAGTTCACAGGCACTGACTGGAAGCAAGAGTACATACTGGACTGATTTCTAACATTTGTTTCTTTCGCCTGTAATGCATAACTTTGAAGCTGTCTCAAGTAGAGCCCTTTTACTATGCTATAAAGTATTGGTGCTTTAATGTACAACTTGAAGTTGTACCATAATATTAAATGTATAAGTTCAAGTTGTACCATAAAGGAATTTGTACCCTTATGTTATGGTACAACTTTACAAGTTGAAGTTGTACCATCACATAAAGGTACAAGTTCAAGTTGTACCATAAAGAATATGTACAAAACAGTGTAGGTATAATATAAAACTTTACCATAATATTGAGTGTACAATTTCAAGCTGTACCATAAAGGTAGAAACCTATAACACCAATACTATATAGTATTGTAAAATTCCTCGTCTCAAAGTATCCCATTGATTCTCTCAACAGTAAGAAACCATCCATTGTGAAAAAGTTGACGGAAATCAGCATCAAGATCAACTAAAAGATATAACACGCACACACACACAACGAAGCTTTTTGAAGCAACAAATGGACTATCAAGAACCAACCATGTTGCAGACAAGATTGAAGTAAACCACCATATTTTGTACTCCTAAACTGCTCCTATAAATACCACTATACAAGGCTATCTAATCAACTGCATGCTCAACATCCTTCATCTTATATCTATAGCATGATCTTTTTTCTAGCATCAAGTTCATTCCAACCTATGTTTAGTTCAAACCATGGGGCAAGTACAACTTGTAAAAAAAAAAAAGAACATTAAAAAAGAGAGAACATATATGCAACGAACCTCTGCCATCTGTTTCTGCCCACAAAGTATAGCTCCAGTACCTGCTGGGCTGGATATCTGAGTGGCCCTAGCAAAAGCAGCCTGCATAGCAATCAAATTGAAAGCCCTTTACTAGATTCATACCGTATCAGTAGACAACTAACCCTGAGAAGAAATGGAGTATGAGCACATACAACTAACCTGTACATAGCCAGCTTCACCACTCCAACTATTCTCTGGTTGCGATAGCACTGGCACAATCGTAACCCCAGAGGACTCCCAATCTTTGAACCTATCCTATAACCAAAGCAGAGGCAACCAACTTGAACATACATTCACACACACCAAATAGAAACTAGTACATGGCAGCGGATGAACGATGCAGTAAGCAAACCTGGTAAGCCATTCTCTTCAGGTTTCTGGCTCCATAATAAAGCCTCACGTCCGATCTGTGGTTGGCACCGAAACCTGACTCAATGAGAGATCGGATCGGACTGCACCGGACAAGTATGCGATCATTAGGAGGCCCCCGAATCCCCCATATCAAAACCTATGATGTTGGAACCGTGAAAGGTTCTTACCTAATTCCAGAGCCGGTGGCGAAAATCAAAAGAGTGGGGTACTTTTCAGGCGGATCGATCTGATCGATCGCGAAGCCTTTGCCCATAACCTGGCTCAATTCCACGACATCTCCTCTCTTTAAGGCGCACAGGAGCTCGGCCGTGGAGCCGGCGACGCTCTTTACCAGAAACTCAAACGCGCCTCTAGATGCGGCAAGCGAAGGAGGCGAAGCGATGGCCAGAAAGGAAGGTTTCTCGACCTCAGGGATTCGGAGCTGTAGGTACTGACCGGGCAGCGTATGGGACGCGGCGAGGTCGAGGGAGTCGGAGACGTCGATGCTGATGTGGAAAAGAGACTCGGCGACGGGCTCGATTTCGGCTAGCGGGGCTTGGGTCCAAGCGGCGGTATCCTGGCGGACGGCGGCGGCAGCAGCGAAGGAGGAGAGACGCCTTCGGTGGGGGGAGGTTAGACGGCGGGGCGCGAGGCGGCGTAGGATAGACATGGGGAAGAGGGGAGAGCTAAGCTGCTCATGGATGGCAGCGGGAGAAGGAACTGGAAGAGGAAGAGGAAGAGGAAGGAGAAGGTTTGAGGACATAATTAGGCTTTGATTGGCTGAATATTTAGGGCAGGAAGGAGTAAGATCCGACTAGCGGCGCAAATGGTGGCAGTGTTGGTGAAGAGGCGGCGCTTGAGAAATGTTGGCGAGTGCCGGGAAAAAGGTCCACTTCTCAATTTACTAGGCGGGATCGAAATTAAGTAGGATAGGATTAGGTGGTGGCCCATTTGCATTTTTTCCTTTTTTTTTTTGGGTGGGTTTAGGGCTTTAGGCTCAATCAGATATGATATGGTGCAACACTTGAATATTGGAGAATGGTTCTCCATTTCATTCAACAGCTCGTAAAAGTGTTCTTTTAAATTAAAGGCTCAGATTTATTAGAGCAATAGATAGTGGATTATGAGGCCCACGACCTAAAAAAGTAGCTTACATATGTGCCATTTATTTTTAACAAAATAAAATTTATACATACTATTTACAAGTGGTATATGTATTTTCTTGTTGAACTAAAATCATATTTGTATCGAACAAAATATATATTTGTATTGAACAAAATACATATTTGTACCGAGCAAAAGTTATATTTGTGCTGAACAAATATACACATTAGAATATCATATTCGTATTAAACAAAATATGATATTTGCATTGAATAGAAAACATATTCCATATGGGTTAATTGCATGGTTGGTCACTGAGATTACAAAAAACGTTTAACTTTGGTCACTCGAAATATTTAAATCCATTGGTGGTACTTCAGTTTACTGAAATCGTTCACGTTTGGTCACTCTCCGTCCAACTCCGTTAACTTTGGCTGATGTGGCAGTCAACTCTCAAAGTTGACCGTTAACTTGGTGACGTGGCAATTAGGAAATAATAAATAAAATAAAATATAATCTATTTTAATGTCCAACTCATTTTTATCATAAAATAAATAAATAAAAATATCGTAATTATTAATTACCAACCCAACAAACCGAGGCTCCGCAACTCGAGTGGATGGTGATGATGGAGCATTGTTTGTGGATGGTGGTGGACTTCGCTTCGTTCGTTCGGTCAGCCATCATCGACGGCAGCCATGAATTCCATTTTCCAAGGCGATGCAGAACTGAACCTCCAACCAAATGTGTTCCTTTACATTCTACCAGTTGTGTTTCCACTCAATGAATTTCTAATTAGGGTTCTCGTTTGAATTCCCCCCCCCCCCCCCCCTTCATGTTCAGACGAAGGCTACCGTGAGCAGAATCGGTGCCTCGGAACAAAGCTTTCGAAGAGGTTAAGATGCGTAGCAGTTGGGAGCTATTCTTCACGATGTGATCCCAGCGATATGCGATTTCCTGGCCACTGGGGATGCTACCTTTGCGAGTTTCTCCGGGCTCGAGGATTTGACTATAGATTGAAGTGTTAGTTGGCAAACTTTAACATACTGTTCTGGATTCTATAAAATTCTTCAAGTCCGAGGACTCATGTCTGCCCCACACTAGTTGGGAGAAGGTTTCGAGCCCACGTATGGCTCTCCAAACGGTGGCGGCGGTGAGATTGGCGGTTGCTGCTGCAGCGACATAATTGGGGATGGAGAGGGTGTAGGATTCGTCGGTGTTGTGGATGAGCGGGGCTTAGATCGGCGACGGAGATGGAGAGGGATTTGAGAGGGTGGGGGATTGGAGGGTGGCGGTGAAAATGTTGTTGCGGAACAATTTCCCGGACCTCGCCGCCATTCCGATCTAGCAGTCGATTGGAAAAAAGAGAAGACCAGAGAATGAATAAACCTTTGTTTCTGGGGGAAGGGAAGGGATGGGTGTTTGAAATGGGGAGTAGGCAGCTGATGTTATGAAATAGGAGGAGGCCATATGGAAGTAGTTTTATAGTCAAGCAAATGGATAAGCATTGTGCTCCGTTCGTCGGTCCGGAGTCTCATTGAACCGCTACCTCTTCGCCGTCGTCTTCCGCTACCACCGCCTCGTCTCCTCCGAGCGCCAACGCCCCATATCTGACCCCACCGCCACCCTCCAATCTCCCACCCCCTCCAATCTCGCGAAAATGTTGTTGCGGAACAGTTTTCCGGACCTCGCTGCCATTCCGATCTAGCAGTCGATTAGGAAAAAGAGAAGGCCACCACGAACGATGCTCCATCATCACCATCCACTCGAGCTGCTGAGCATCAGTTTGTTGGGTTGGTAATTAATAATTATAATATTTTTATATTTTTTATTTATTTTATGATAAAAATGAGTTGGATATTAAAGTAGATTAAGTTTTATTTTATTTATTATTTTTTAATTGTCACGTCACTAAGTTAACACATCAGCTAAAGTTAACGGAGTTGGAAGGAGAGTGACCAAATGTGAATGGTTTAAGTAAACTGAAGTACCACCAATGGATTTAAATATTTTGAGTGACCAAACTTGAACGTTTTTTGTAATCTCAGTGACCAACCATGCAATTAACCCTATTCTATATATGTGATTTCTATATTCGTAATTTTCACAACTCTTATTCAAAATAATATACCACGCATTAAAAACCATATTCTTACTAAATATAAAAGAGATTGCTACTTAGGGGAGGAAGTTTGGTTTGCGAGTTGCGGGTAACCCGCAAACCGCACACTTTGTGGATACCCATACCCACAATTTGTGGATAGTGGGTTGGGTGTGGGTATCAAAATATTGATTTTTGTGGTTAGTGGTTAACCATTACCTACAGCGGTTTATCCACAAAACCCACATTAACCACATTAGTTATATTTATTTCTTCAAAATACTTTGTAACACATATTAACCACATTAGTTATATTAGTTTGTGAAATTGGAAGACTAAGAATTAAAGTAGCTACCAAAATCAAATATGCACTTATTCTATAAAACAAAACCAAGTCAATACGCAATGTTCATGTGAGATACTTTTATTAAATAAGCATTGTCAATGTGTTATATTTTCATTTTATAACAAAACCAAGTCCATAGATATAGTCAGATAAATTACTCGATTCATTAAAAGAGGGGAATAATCGATAAAAGTTAGTCAGATACCCAAACTCATCTTCATTTCACCACGAACTCACAAACAACACAACATGCAACCAACTACCAAAACACAAGACTATAATTGAGAGTGGAGAATAATCGATTCATTAAAAGCGGACGCCTCCACTTATCGAGCCACTTTTGTGTTTTGCTGTTGTTGCCATCGAAGGAGTCGTGACATGCAACGATGTTAGTCTAGTAACATATCACTCCGCCTCTCCGTTATTTCAAATCTCTTTCCAAATCCATCACTTCTGAATTTACACTAACTAACCTATTGTATTTGAGATTTATAATTTATTTTACACTTTATTAACTTTCTTTTATGTATGTTTTTGTTTTTGTGTGATAAAAAATACAACTTCACTATTTAATTACAATATTATTATATTTTATGTGAAATTTTTGTGGGTATCCACAACCAACCCGCAGCGACCACTACCCACTGCGGGGCGGGTTGTGGGTAGCATAATTTTGTATTTGTGGATGTGGTTACCCGCAAAATGTGGGGCGGGTAACCACACCCACCCCAATTTCCACCCCTATTGCTACTGATCACAAAACATATTTGTACAAAACAGAAATAATATTCAGCATTTTCAAGAACTTGCATTCTCTACTCTCTTTTGTGTCAGCTCCTTTTCAGTCCGTGGGCCCAAAAAAGCAGCTTTTTGTCAGCTCATTTTCAGTTGCTGACCTCACTTTCCACTACTACTTTTTACCAACAAATCTTGACCCTTAATTTAATGACCCATTTTTATGGACCATTGGATGTAAGATGGAGAACCGTTCTTCAAAAGTCAAGTGGTGCACCATATCTAAATTCGTTTAGGCTTAGGCTTAGGCATGGCTGGAGCTTGCCGATTGGCCTATTGTCGAGGCATGTGTCATCCCTTGATGGTTGACCAAATTGTAATGGAAATCATACCCAATTCGTTTGTCAAAGGATATTCATCCTAGTAGTTCAATTACTTTCCTCCATCACCGACGTATATATGTTCTTGTCCGAGATGCAGCTTTGAACCTAAAAGGTTGAAACTGCTATTCATGTTATTTGTGACTGTTCTTACGTAAGATCACGTTGGCAAAACCTAGTCACTTCATCATACACTTGCTTTTTCTTAATGGTGATACAAGAATGACTCTATCATATTTATTATTTTGAGTTGTGCCCGTGATGACCTCATTCAAGGTTACCCCTGCAGAGTTGGAGTATATCCATAATGTTGAACATATAGAAATGATGTAGTACATGGAAAACACATTGGTCGCATGAGAACTTTTGGCAAGTTCCCATGAGACTTGCGAGTGATATCACCAATGCATCATCAATCAACCCTCTCCCCCATAAGTGATATGTTGGGTTAGTTTAGTGATGGATTCAGAAATTTTATGTAGGGGTGCCCTCCTTTTTTTAAAAAATTAAGAATTAAAAATAAATATTAAATAATTCTTATTTCTTAAATGAGAACAATATCGACTAGTATTCAACGAAAAAATATTCGATTAATACAAGTTACAACAAAAGTCCAAGTTGTGTTTTCAAATTCTGAAAATATTGTAAAACACTCCCAGTGTCTATAGTACTCAGCAAATCTCTTTCAATATATCCTACAAGACAACCATTCACGAACGATTGCCTAGTCGATTGTGAAGCTTGTTCTTGATGTAACCCAAAGGTGAAAAGGCTCTTTCAACACTTACAGTTGCAATCGGTAAAGTCAATACAAATTTGAGAAGCAAATATACCCATGGATATGATAGATTCACTTTTGTCTTCACCACTAGCTGACATAATTCATCAATTTCTTTTAATTCATGGAATAACTCATCATTCTTAATACAATGGTAGTAATTTTCGAAGTCCCGTAGAAGAAAAGAGTCGGAAAGGTGATCAAACTCTATAGGATAAAATCACGTAAGACTTACCAGCTTCTCCTTGTCAAAAGAAGCAAACTCATTCTCCGGGTTATGAGAAGTCATACAAGTCAACAACCTAGTATTCACCTCATCAAAGCGGTTGTTCAACTCTTGTCGTTGCACGTGTGTTTAAAATTATACGTATCTTAAGTTGTAACAATAAATGAGTTGTTGTCTAATGGAAAATATGTTATCTAATAGATAGGGTGTCACAGGT